GCCATGCCACGGACATAGGGACACATATAACATGGATTAGCCCCACTGGAAAATGGTCCCTCCCGAGGCACATAACGCTCTTCTTACTCGTAGTTTCTCTGTACTTGTGGTCATAACGTGCGGACCCTGTTTCTATTCTTTACATGCCATTAAGACAAACTCCAATAGGGAGTCCGTGGGCAGAAAATCGGTGCTAGCATCTTCTGCGGCCTTGAGCCTGGCCAAATTCCCCGTCACTCAAGTCTTCTAGAAAGCCTAGAGGACGATAGAAACCAATCAATTTGCGTCCGATCCTTGCCAATTGTCCACTCCGGAACCCTGTGGCCGGCTCGGGACCGTGGAGCTGGTTGATCTGAAGGAAAATGGCAACCCACCTGGCCAAGTTTTCTTAATAGCGATTTCTCTCGGTGCTTCACCGGGAGATAACAGTGTGCCCCTGAAATTGCTATCAAATCAGATCCAGTGAAATTGCAGCAGATGCACTGAAGACAGTGACTGCCACGGAAAACCCGGGAACCCTGCGATTTGTTACTGTGGTCAACAACTTACGCACCTATACACATTACTGAAGACTCCGTTAGCATGTAAGTGTAGATTTGTCATTTTAAGCTTTACATTTCTCATATCTGGCATTTCTTTGGCAGGCTGGAACAGTTTCATAACAAAGAGACAGTGGAAGGAGCAGCGGTAGGAGCGTAAACGAGAACCTGTTCAATGATCTTGTCGGTCATGTTGGTGAGTACACAATATGTCGACCTCCCACGAGTGTTAAAACTAAGCAACTGAACCTCCAACTCTTGATCGTTTATTATGTAGTAGACGTTGTCGCGATAACAACCCACTATTGACATATCAAATGTTTGCCGTTTCATTTCTCACTGACGAAAAGCGGTGGCTAAAAGTTGGCTAGAAGAGGGTGTGGATAAACAGTTACTCCATGAGGTTCGATGTGAGTAACAACAGGTAAATCTAGTGCTGTGTGGGAGGAAAATTCTCTTGGGCTATGTTCATACTCTGAGTGTGTGGAATACTCGATTCCGAAGAGTCGGCAACAGAAAAGTATACGGCATCCATCTGGAGAATGTACGATTCACAGGAATCTGCGACTCGAAAATCGACGACAAGGGACTATATGGGAATTTCCTGACTCCGCCTACCATAGTTCCGATGAATCTGCGAGTCGGAAGAATCGGCAATTCGAAGGAAGGCTGGTAGAATATGCGTTTCGTTAGTGGACGGATAACAAACGATTCCCTCGAGATTAGTTTTCTCCTATAGGGCACCGTCCCAATCCGTGGGTTTCCCAGACTCACAAAGAAGGGACACGATTTACACACTAGCCAAATGTGTACCCTTGCTATATCAAATGCATTACGCTTCTCAAATTCAAACTACGCCCACCCAAAGATCGCGCTTCTTGTTTCTAGCCCCACACAACCAGACTTCACCCGTCAAAGGCAAAGCCAGCGGTCACATATCTGGGCACTAGGGCTCAAATAAAGATGTCAGGGAAGTCGATGGTAGAAAAACAGCAAGATCATCTCCAAAATTCGAACTGAAGCCGCTTGGAGAGCACATTTGTACGAGCAAACGGCGAGAAAAGGGTACGATTGAACGAGATCTCCAGGCAATGGAGTGTGTTCGGACGGTATCATCGAACGGTGCTAGTTGACGTTGTCCTAGCAGATTGCTGACTGTCAACAATGTCCCTGCCCACGTTCTTTGGCAGGTCTTTTTTGGCGGGAAGGGTACAGCATCGTTGTGTGAAACACATAGACGTAAGTCGTACTTTTCCGTTGGGGGCGCGGCGAGGGGGTCGTATTTGACCGCAGTTGGGAGAGGGGGAGTCGCACCCCGCGGCTGTTTTTCCGGGTGTAGGTTTAGGCGACAGTGTTCCCGTTTTGAAACTAGCTTTCTTTCTTTTCCTTCCTACCTTCTCTGTTCCCTCTTCCTTTACCTTCTCCCTTCAACTACTGGTCTAGTAGATGCCGCGAAAAAATACCCCTGGGATCTCGCAGCGAGATCATGTCTGTTGACAAGTGATCGTAACCTTGAACCTCACTCCCCGTCGACAGCCTAAGTGTAACCACTGTGGCTACGGACACACCATGATTCACGCCTCAGCCGTCCTTCATTGGTGAAATTTTGATAAATTTATGTGACGGTATATTTATTTCTGTTTTGGTTGGTTTGTATTATTATGTTTTTTCAGAACACGGAGGGCGTGTAAGGAAGTGTTCTTCAATATGTCTTGGAAGGAGGAGTATTCGTCGCTTTTAGGCACGTTCCATTTCTTTTTCTATCTATTTACTTTTTGTGCTTATTGTTCGTTTTATATAGACAGTCAGAGTTTACGGCACAAAAATGAGTAAAAATTCATTTCATCATTCGAAAGTTGAATGTTTGAGTCGGTTGCCTTCTCGGCTATCGTCTGGTACGTAATTGGTGCTATAAGTTTCATCTCAAAAAACATTTCCGTGAGCTCTCTCATAAACATGGAGCTGATGTCACAAAAACTCCGTGGTGACGTAGTGTAGCGGGCTCTTCCGTTTTGCGGGCCCATGACGCGCGCGTCAGCTCGCTTTGCTTCCCTCGGCAACGTGACTTAGATACCCGGTGGGCGTGGCCAAAATAGGGCGAGGGCTTGACGTGGACGGATATAATTAGGCTTCAGCGCTTCTTCCTGAGCTTGGAGACGATAATTTCCTTCTTATTAAACAGCTGTGTGTTTCTACTGCTTGAACTAAGAAGTTCCGAGAGGAAGAATTAACTTAGATTGGAATTTATGCTTTTTGCAAAGGTATACATTAGGCAGAGGCGAAAAAGTGGTTATCAGGTCTTACGTATGATCATGAAATCAACATTAAGCACACCTTGAAGACAATAGGAACGTTTACCTTGTAAACGGTGCTCCCGTCTAATATCTA